TAGGTAAATCGTTTCGGGGCTGACAAAAAGTACAAAAAAAAAACTAAATATAGGGTATTGTGCATCGTCAAGTGGAAAATTTATTTTGGGTTGTTCTTGGTTTTGGGGGTTAAAGGGTAAAACAAAAAACACACTTTTTGGGGCGTTTTCCTTTGATAATAAAACAAATTTCAGGATATCCATTCTATTTACCCCAAATAAAAAACCCAATTTGTCCTGAAAAAAACAAGGGTAATTCATTTTTTAAAAAGTTGTGTGATAGTAGGGTTTTTACTAACACATGCACGTGAAAAATGTCTTAGGCTTTAAAGATTTTGTTTTCCCCTTTGGCTAAAGGGGGTTAAACGACCCCAACTACTTTTAAGAGTAGAAACTTTCAAAAGTTAGAAAAAACTTATGATTTTAGAATAAACATTGTAACACATGCTGTCCCCCAAAAAAGGTTTTTCATAAATTTACACTAAGTATGGGGTTGTTTAATTTGCGTCCGTGCGTTAAGACAGTTTTAACAAAAAATAGGGTTTTTAAAATAAAAAGGGTAAAAAATGGTCAAATAATCACAAACCCCTGGTTTTGTTTGGGCGGGTAATAAAAAAGGGGGTTGTTAATCATTTTTCACGTTTTTGGGTTTATAAATTAAAACAGGCACAAAGGGGCAACAATGAAAACCCCAAAAAGAAATGGTTTAATGGGTGGGGCCACTTTTTCCCTACTTATTTTTTTTTAGCTGTTTTTCACTAGTTTTGAATTTGGGATAGGGTCGTGTTGCACTAAGCGAGGAAAAACCTGGCCCCAAAAAATTGCACGGGAAGTTACCCCCCGATGGCACTCTTTAATGTCCCCTTTTCCCCCGGTTTGCGTATTCCCCACATTTCAAGAAATATGGTTCCCAAGTGGGGCTTTTTCTAGGAGAGGGGGAAGGACCATAAAGGTTTAAACCCCATCAGTCGGACCGGTATCTTCCCCTTTGTGCAAGGGGAACAGGATGAGAGAGAAGACGCAAAATGACCCCCACAGGATTTGGGGTAATGTCTTGACCCAACATCAGAAAAAGACTATTGGGGGCCCCATCCCCAGTGGGCCCTTGGTCACTTGCCCACACCTAGACTTGATTGGGGATTGCCATGAACACCTGAATTGGAGGCTGCCATGGGGCCCCGTCTTTTTTACAATGAAGCGGTTACCCTACACAGGACAAATGAAAGGTCTAGAAACTGGGAACATTAGGGTTTAAAAATTTTTCAGATACCATTTTTTGGGGGGACATGATGGTTGGGGGGCATATCCAGGAGGGACGCACAGACCCCTTTCAGGGAGAAAAAAGGCCCCCGCCCGCCCTTAGTATTGGGATGAAAAACCTTGGGGCCCCCTTGTCAACCCCAACTGGTGCAGGGGTCCCGGTTCCTCCCGGTGATGACAATGCTGGCCTCAAAGAATGAAAATATAGGTATTTGGAGGAAACGGAATTGAACCATTAACACCCCCCCTTTTCCTATTAAATCCCAAAGAAGCCTTGGGGATATAAATTTTTTTCCCCCCACCAAACCACCCGGGTACCCCGTGCAAGGAGCTCATGATGCCCTGGGCCCGATTGGGGGGAAATACCCCCGATACCATCCATGTAAAACATTAGAAATGCCCCCACGTTGTCAGGGTTGCATGCAACACTGGGGGCCCCTAAAAAATACTATACCCTTTTTTTAGTTGGTGCAATGAAATTTCAGCAAACGGTAGCCTGCTGCATAATTTTTAAATTTTGGGGTGCTTTGAAATTTAGTCCCCTTTGGGGGTTTTAATTTATTTCTATAAATGGGGCATCTTTAATTCCAACACTTAACCCCCGTATAGCATATAAATATCCGCATATTCTTTCCCCCCTTGAGATTGATTGTTTTCAAAGTGTTCCTTTTAAATTTTTTTGGAACGTGATTTCAGAAAAAAAAGGGATTACAAAAAAACAAAAGACAACAAAGCAACCGCAAGAGAAAGGGGTGAAACTAAAATTCTAGCAAGTCCTGGGTTTTGGGCTTCAGTCAAAGCAAGGTGATATATTGGGTTCAAAAATTAAAAATTCCTTCCCCGGGGAGAACTTTCAGTCAGGAAGGATGGGGTGTTCCCCTCCTCACCCTACTGCTCGGACCCCAATCATGGGAAGGCATCAGTTGCCCAAAATAAAAAGGAGATGAAGTTGGGCTTGCCCCAGGGAGCTAGCTAGTCCCCCCAAAAGCCAACCCTTTAATTCTGGACATTAAGGCAGTTTTTTTTTTTTGCTTTAAAACTCAGAGGTTTTGCCAGTACTGTAGTTACAACAAACTTTCCATAGTAGCCTGTGTTGCCAAAAATGTCTTGGTTTGAGGGGTAGGGGCAGGGCCCGGGTTGCCTACCTTCCCCTTTTTCATGCACGGATCCAGCCGTATCTGCACATACCTCTGGCGGACCCCTCTACCACTAGCAGGTGTACTCAGGGCCGCGACCTGGTTCCTGTCTGCTCGTTCCTGTTCCTGCTTCGTTTGAAGGTTGGTTTGTTCACTGTGCGTTTATATATATATTTTATATATATTATATATATATATATATATTATATACATATATATATATATCTGGGGTGGCTAATAATAAACTGTATTATACTGTACCTGAGACCTGCGTTTCCCTGTGTCAGTCCACACCTTTCTGGTCATTCCTAGATTCCTGACACTGGTGTCCCAAGTACAGGACCTCAGTCATGCCTATCTGACACTTACTTTGTCTGATGGTCAGATTGGACTGCTGTCAGTTTGTCCAGGACATGCAACAGGTGCACCAAGTGTTCTTCCCAGGTAGGGCTGAACATGGCAATGTCATCCAGGTAGGCTACTGCAAATCCCTTCCATTAGGTCATTCATGACTTTCTGGAAGGTAGCTGGGGCATTCTTAATTCTAAAGGACATGCCTGTAAATTCAAACAATCCGAATAAGATGATGAAGGCCAACTTTTCCCGAGGAGGTGCCAGAGGAATTTGCCAGTACCCTCTGCTCAGATCCATGATCGTCAGATAGCAGGCGGCCGCCAATCTATCCAACATCTCATCAATATGGGGCATAAAGTAGGCGTCTGCAGTAGTGATGGCATATAGCATTTCATCCAGCTCCTTTTTTATGTTGGTCTGCACTCCAGAGAGATGCGGTAGGCCAACTGTTTAATGGGAGGATGTGTCCCTGAGTCCACTTTGTGGATAGCAAGGTGTGCCTTGCAAGCACTCTCATCAGCCTAGGTACCTGAGTGGGGGAAAGGCATGAGTTGATCTCAGGTCTCAGTCTGCCTCCCTGGTGTCAGCTAACAGATCTAGCAGTGGATCAGCATCCTAGGTTCTGGCCGGCAACAGACAGGCATAACATAGGCCATACACTCATGGTGGGCTTTGAGCAAGTTCTCATGAAAGGCCTTCTGCCGGCTACTTCCTTCTCCCAATCTGACCAAATAGGTGACATCATTCAGACGCTTGGACCCTGATTTACTATTGTGCCTGGGCGCATTTCCGTAGGCGAAACGTCTAATTTTTTAGGGAGCGACTGTCTACTTTTACCCGCTAAGAGATTTACTATTGAGCAGCGTCAACAAGTAGACACCCAATCGAATTTACTAACCACACACACACCAGGAATCAGACTCACAAAGCAGACTTGGTAAGAGGTATGTCTAACACACATGAAAAATCACTGCAGAAACATGTTCACCTTTGAAATTTGCTTTGCCAAATATCAGGACTTCACTTTAAACAATATCTACCATTTCAAAAAAAAATTAAAATGTGTTAAAGTTTTTTTTTTAAGCAAGACGACACAGTGAAAAACTAGACACTCGACTGCAGTTTATTTGGCTGATACAAATGCGCATGTGCAGAACACATTTTAGCCCATCCTCTGTGGGGGCGCTTGCTTTTTAGCCACTGCTCAATAGTAAATCTCAGTGTGGATTCCTCTGACAAGCGGCACTATGGGTCGCGTCTCCTGTGTTTAACAAAACAGCACTAGGCATATCTTTATGTATTCTAATTTGATTTCCTTAGTTCTAGTGATTCTATTTTTGTTTCTTATCCTTTATAATTATTTCTGTAATGATGTTACTTATTTTTGAAGGTCTAGATAATATTTATTTTGACCAGCTGAATGTAAAAATAAAGTTCCGCAATAGAAAAAAACCAAAACAAAACAGCGTGGATCCCCCCTCTCATCCATACCAACCCTTTAGGTTTGGTATGAATATTAAGGGGAAACTCCACACCGAAATTTAAAAAAAAAAAAACAGTACCCCCCAATATCCATACCAGATCCCATAGCGCCCCCCCTTCCTGAACCATACCAGGCCACATGCCCTCAACATGGGGGGGTGCTTTGGGCAGGAGGGCTCCCCCCCAAAGCACACTGTCCCCATGTTGATGGGGACAATGGTCTCTTCCCCACAACCCTGGCAGTGGTTTGTGGGGATCTGCGGGCGGGGGCTTATCAGAATCTGGAAGCCCCCTTTAACAAGGGGCCCCCAGATCGCCCCATCCCCCCCCATGTGAATGATCTGCGGTACATGGTCCCGCTACTCATTCACAAAAGAACAAAAAGTTGTGTAAAAAAAACACAGTACAGGGTCTTTGACAAGTCCTTTAATAAAACAGTGTCCCCCGAAGTAGATCCAACGTCAATCACGGCGGCGATCCGAAAAGAAAAAAAAAAATAGTTCCGTCCCGTTGGATTTTTTTTTTTTTTCCTACTTTACTGATAAACAAAATGTGCCAAAATCCCGAAAACGGACGGCCGACCAATTATTATCCCACTAATGGAAGAGGCCCTTGTCCCCATTAACATGGGACAAGGGTGCTTTGGGGGGGGGAGCCCCCTTGCCCCAAAGCACCCCCCCATGTTGAGGGCATGTGGCCTGGTATGGTTCAGGAGGGGGGGGGGGCACTCGCTTCGCCCCCCCCCCTTTCCTGACCTGCCGGACTGCATGCTCGGATAAGGGTCTGGTATGGATTTTGGGGGAACTCCCAAGCTGTTTTTTATTTAATTTCGGCAAGGAGTTACCCCTTAATATCCATACCAGACCCGAAGGGCTTGGTGTGGATGGGAGGGGGGGACCCATGCCGTTTTTTTTTTTTTTTTTTTTTTACATTTTTGGTGTGGAGTTACCCCTTATGATACATACCAGGACCTGAAGGGCTTGGTGTGGATGGGGAGGGGGACCCCATGCCGTTTTTTATTTATTATGGTGCTGGTTTTTAAATGTAATTTTTCCTTTTTTTTTCTTCACTATAGCTCAGAAATTCACAACCCTGTCACTTCCCCCAGCTAAAAGAGAAAGTTTTCTTGGAATTTAATATCCCTAAAGGAAACAATGTTTACTTTGAGTTTATTAAAAGATACAAGGTTTTCTGTAACTTCGGGAAAGTGACTTCTAAGCTTTGTGAACTATAGTGAAGAAAAAAAAAGGCTGGAATTTGCATTTGAAAATCAGCGCCAACATGCACTTTGGTATTGCAAAAAAAAAATATTAACAATTGTGTAAACCGAGGCATTATTTTCAATGGATTTTCATTCGTAAACCGAAAATTTTGTTAACCGAGGAGTTGGTAAACTGAGGTACGCCTGTATTAGTATTGCAATCCTTTGTATTGGGAATACATAGAACCAACATACATCTAAATTGGCAACATAGCACAACATTTGTGTCACATTTGAGATATCTGCTAGTTACACTGACCTTGCCCAGGGACTTAGGGTTGATTCACACCACAGAAATACAGGCAGTGGTTAGTGTTCAACAGCTCCGTGGATTAGTGGTTAGCACTGCTGCCTCACAACGCTAGAAGGTTGTTGGTTTGAATCCCAATCACAGCAATGAATTTGCATGATCTCCGTGTGACTACCCTAACATACATGTGCTGGTGGCATCATCTTTGCTTTCTGTTTAAATGATCCCTAGAATGTGAATTAGAAAGAGGCCTTGTCTGTTCAAACACCTTTAAAGTAGCACCTTATGTGAATGTCAAATGATGGGATGAGATAAGGGCCTGGATTAATGATTGATTGGATAATGCTGGTTTGCACTCCTCCACCTCCTTTGGGAAAGTTTGTCAAACCATGAGAGATGAGTGAGCGAGAGAGAAAAAGGATTAAAAAAATAAAATAAAATAATGGCATGGAGTCGTTCCCGTCCCCCCCCCCCCAAATCCATAACAGACCCTTATCTGAGCATGCAGATACCGCCATGCCTTCAAAGATGTATTTCCTATGTTGAATTGCCTGCTTGGTTCACACTAGATGTGATTTAAAAAATGTGTTTTTTGTTGGCAATTTCACCGTGTTTTCTGTAGATTTACCAATGAGTTATTGCGTTTTCAATTGTGTTTTGCATTGCGATTTCTATTGTAGTCTATATGTGAAATCGCTACAAAATGCTGAAAGTTAGACGAGAACTACTTTTGAAATTGTGCTGCAGCAAATCGCTTACATTAAGACACTCACATCCAGATTCATTAGATCGGATATCAGATACAATTTCAATTCCCAAATCGCACCTGAAATCGTGCACCCTGGATGTGACTTGGCATGCGATTTGCATGGTATGCGACTTGCAAATCGTATGCCAAGTCGCACCCTATTGTCTGCTATTAGAGCAGTCACATGGGTGCATTTCTGACACTGATTTCTAAAGTAGTACATGTACTACTTTTGTACGATTTGCAGAGATATCTGGTCAGATGTCTTGCAAATCGTAAGGAAATCAGCATCTTCACTGTATGTCGCACAATTTCTAAATCGGCTTTGATGTGACCGCGGTGTAAGGCCTTTTTATGTTTGATTTCCTGAGTGTTTTTCCGATTTATGGAAAATGCTGCATACTAGCAAAAGTGAATTGACATTTTCAGTATTGCATGCGAGATGTGGTCATGTGACTGCCTTAACTCGTGCGATAATCTGGAGTGAATTGTGCCCATAGGGCCAAGAAATATTGCCAATAGGGTTCCCTTTCACATCCCTGTTCCAATGTTCTGTTGTATGCTGCACAGGTACACTTCACTGTGCTTTTCTTTCCTGACTCTGATTTGTGGGGCCTGTATACCAAGGGGTTAACGCAGGTGGGAAGAGAATTAATCAGGTGCAAACACTTTCTCTGACCAAATAAATGACAGTGGTGGGTGTGGCCTACCTCTCTCCCCCCCTACCTTATATAAAGCCCCCCCCCCCCCCCCCCTTCTTCACCCTACCCCCCCCCCCCTCTACCTTTTTTTCCCCCTTACCTTAGATGTGGTAGTGGCTGATTTTTTTTCCCTTGTTACAGGCACATTATTTCTGCAAGTCCTTGTCTGTGGTGGTTTGGGGAGGAAGAGATATTGTGGTGAATTGCCCAGGCCACACTCACGCTGTGTTTTGATGTAGGCTGTAAATGTTTTGCATGTTCTTCCTTCTAAGGTGTGTTTTGTGCATTATTGTACAATGATTGTGTTTATTATCTTTGCATTGTAATCCTAACACATGTCCATTGCTCTGCTCTTCCAAGTTTGCTTTATTTAGAATGAAATGCAGTTTTCAGACAAACATGGTGAGAAATGTATGTGTGGGGGAGGTGTTTATATTTTGGCATGTATGTATTTTTATATTGATATTTCGATCTGCAGCTTGTTTTGTGAATAAGCCCAAGTGATATTAACCATTTGTTTCCTGCTGTAACCTGCGAAAGCACAGTTCATTATAAGTATATCTTTTAGATTGTAAGCTCTTATGAGCAGGGCCGTTCTATTTTAGCAACATCAATCTGTTTTTTTTTTTTTTTTTTTTTTCACACCAAGATGTTGAATGTAGCTTTTTGTTGCTGTCCCAAATAATGTGCAATGTGTATTTTGATCAATAAACATTTGTACTATGTATTTTTTGGGAGGATTATTTCATGTTCTAGTTGAATGTTGCACAGTGGCTAAATGGTTAGCACTTCCACCTGGCAGTACTAGGGTCGTTGGTTCAAATCCCAGCCATGGCACCTCCATGCCCTGGAGTTTGCATGTTCTCCCTGTGCCTGTGTTTCCTCTGGGTACTCCAGTTTTCCTCCCACACTCTAAAGACATGCTGGTAGGTTAATTGGATCCTGTCAAAATTGGCCCTAGTATTATGTATGAATGTAAGTCAGGGCTCTTAGTATGCCCCTTGAGGGTTAGGGAGAGATGTGAATTTACCACATCTATATGTAAAGCGCTGCGTAAATTATATAAGTATCTGAGATGTACTAGTACCCCTAACTTATTTTTGCTAGCTATATAATATGCCCAAATCTTCCTTGTTAGAGCGCACATGTGCAAGTATGTCCAAAATAACAAACCAAAAGCCCCCTATTGCACCACAAGACCATGTTATGTACCAATGAATAGGTCGTGTTCAATGTGCAGACTAGCTATTCTTTTTCTACAATCCTCTTAACAGTAATAAATTGGGCCCCCAATTTATGGTTGACTTTGGGCCTTTACTGGCAAATATATATTGCCAATGTCATATACACAGTATAGCTGCAAGCATACATTCACCAATGCCAAATCTGCAATAGAACTGCAAACATATTTGTGAATGTCAATATACACAATGGAGCCCGCATGTAAAATTGCTATGGTGCACAAATAAACGCCAAGACGTTGGAGGAGGCGCTAGAGCGGCTGTCATACCGGAAATACGTCATGATGTTGGCGGAAGGATGTTTGCACACACCCGGAGGTGGAAGTGGGGAGTGTGAGTGGATGGGAGTGTAGTTAGGAGAGTTTAGTGGTAATTTGCAAGTCTGTTTTTTTAGTTTTGTGAATTGTTCCCATTAAATGCTTTATAGTACATCCTGGTTTCAGCAGACTTCAGTCAATCTGCAAGGTGATATATTGACTCTCATAACTTGACAGATCTTACTTCATTTGATGGTACACGAGAGCTGTCAAATGTGGATGCCAGTCCCTTTTTCCTTTGACATCTAGGAGTGTTGACAGAGACCATTTGACCAATTACACAGCTGAGGAGTGGCAATGGGATGTCACTGTGTTTATGACTGTATCATGGCCATTCCTTACACACATAGTTAATATTTTTATTATTATTATTATGCAGAGTACAAATTAAATTTGTTATTTTGCACACACAAAAAAGTATTTTTTTCCTAACAAACTCATTCCAGAGCATGTTACAAAATGAATACACCGCAATGAAATTCTTATGAACAAAGCTAAATTTTAGACAACAAAATCCTAATTAACAAGAATTCAGTTACAGATGAGTCGAATTATTCATTAAACAGGTGTCCAGCAGACAGCTGATTGTAAAAAGGAGTAACAAAGAAAACCTCTTCCCATTTTATGCTGTCGGAAATAGCACCACATGGAAGAAAAATGTCACAAGGCTTGAGAAAGTATATAATTTCTTTTACACAAGAACGGTAAAGGCTACATGAAAATCAGCAAAGCTTTACTTATCAGTCAGAATACTGTAGCAAAAAGTCATACAAAAATGTAACAAAGATGAACAGCAACCATTTACAGAGACGTCCAGGCTGTCCAAGGGAGTTAACACCACAACAGGAGCATCTTCTGATGAGAAGGGTTGAAGAACATTTCCATGAAAGTTCACTGCCCTTAGCTAAAGAATTAGAAAGCCAAACTGGGGTGATTGTTTCCCATGACACAATATGGTTTACACTGCAGAGGAATGGCATGCATGGGTGTTTTCCACGAAGGAAGCTTCTCCTAAAGCCCATGCATAAAAACACAACTACTGGCACTCGGTACTCTGTGATGGTTTCAAAACTGAATGGTTTCGCAAAGGTGAGGGGTACAAAGAAAAATGCAAAAATGCATGGTGCCTACAGTGAAACATGGTGGTGGCAGTGTCCTTCTGTGGAACTGCATGAGTGTTGCTGGTGTTGGGGAGCTGCATTTCCCTGATGGTATCATGAATACACTTTTCCAACATGACAATGATCCAAAACACACATCTAAGGCCACTGTTTCATTTCTGAAGAACAACAGGGTGAAAGTGATTCAGTGGCCAAGTATGTCTCCCAATCTGAACCCAATCGAACATCTATGGGAATTCTGAAGAGACAAGTTGCGCATCACTCTCCATCCAGCATCCAGGTTCTAAAAGAGGTCATTCTTGAAGAATGGAAAAAGATAGATATTGCAATTGTTGCCAACTTGTTCATTCCATGCCAAGAAGACTTGGTGCTGTCCTTACAAATCATCAAAATGTACAAGTCATACAAAATGTTAGATGGAGTTGTTTTGGTTTTGGGGTGTATTCATTTTTGCATCAAATAATTTGAGTCAAACTGAAGATTTTGTAATCTACGTCATATTGTTAATCTTACTTTCATGTAATGAGCTAAACAAATGTTCTATAAAACTCGGGGGAGAGATGTACTCATTTATGCTGAGCACTATATATATATATATATATATATATATATATATATATATATTATC